AGATACAGACATTTGGCTGCCAAAAATTGTAGAAAAAAATCCTTATTATATATTTATTATTCATTTTTAAAGGAAAATCATGTACTTTGGCGGCCATTTTGTATGACGTCATATATCTTAAATTGCTCAAGGCTGACAGAGTGTCAGCAATCGGATTCTTGAAATAGAAGGTCTAAGCAATCAAAATCCATTGAAAAAAAAACTATAGACCATAAAACAAGGTTAGGCCAATAATCTGGATTTGGCTGCCGGACTATCTTTTGAAGTTATAAAATATGATGTATCAAATTCCTTAGAAATTATACCACTTTTGATTCGACCGAAATTTTCAAATCCAATAATATTTCTTACTTGGTATAGACCGCCAAATAGCAATGTTCAATTATTTCAACAGTATGATGATTTATTATCATTCCTTGATAGTTTTAATTACTCTATTATTGTTATGGGGGACACACATTGTGATTTATTAAAAATAACAGGGTCCTCTGATTTAAAACGTCTGGATGAAACGCATAACCTATATTCACTGCAACAGATTAACAAAACTTATTATACTAGGATTACAGCCAACTCAATGACACTCATTGACCATATGTTAACAAACTCAACTGAGAAAATAAATACACACGGTGTTATTCATGTTGGAATGAGTGATCATTCTTTGAGTTATTTAATATGGAAGTCGAAAAATGAAAGTTCCTCCCGACTAATTAATTATCGAAAATTATCTGGTATTAATATAGAATCCTATTTAGAAGATTTAGGTAATCAGCCATGGCATGAAATCCTTGATTGTACCTGTATCAGTGAAGCAGTCAATAAATGGGAAAGTTTTCTTATGAATGTTGTTAATCTCCATATGCCTATCAGAAGCAAGAAAATTAGGAATAAGAAGTCCCCATGGATGAATTCGGATATTTTCAAATTGATCAGAGAAAGGGATAAATTAAAACAAAAAGCTTGGAAAAATAAAGATGAGAAAAAGATGAAAGAATACAGAAAATTAAGAAACAAAGTGACTTTTGAAATTAGGAAAAGAAAGAAGGAATATTACTCAGAACAATTATTAAAATTCAAAGTAAATGCTGGTAGCACCTGAAAGGTGTTAAAATCATTATTACCTTGTAAAAATAGTAACAAAAATATATTTCAAACCGATAAAGAAAAATTGTTTGAAAAAAGTGAACATTTTAATGAATACTTTGCCAACGTTGGAAAACTTTTAGCATCTACAATTCCAATCACACATAGATCTGTTCTTGATCAAGTGTGTCATAATGTATTTGATTTTAATTTTGGAGTAATATCAGAAGAAAACGTTTTTAAAGAAATTAAACTATTAAAAAATAAATCTTCATGTGGAATTGACGGAATCTCAGCACAGCTATTGAAGTTGTCGGCTCCTGTTATAATTCCATCTCTAACATATTTGTTTAATAAATCACTGCTAGATTGTGTTTATCCTATTCAATTTAAAACTGCTAAAGTGATACCATTATTTAAATCAGGAAACAAAGATGATCCTTCGAATTTTAGACCCATATCCATTTTGCCTTCCGTCTCAAAAATTCTGGAAAGACTAGTATGCAATCAATTGAAATCGTATATGAAAGAAAACAATGTACTCTGCGCCGAGCAATCGGGTTTCAGGCAAAAGCATTCGACTGTAACATCTTTATTGAAAGTCACCGATGATTGGTTGCAAGCATTGGATGGAGGCCTTTATACTGGTGCTGTGTTTATCGATCTGAAAAAGGCGTTTGACACTGTGGACGTACAAATACTTGCTAAAAAACTTTCCAGCATTGGTGTTTCGACGGACACATTACCTTGGTTCGAAAGTTACTTGTATAGCCGTAAGATGTGTACCTGTATTGATTCTGCTACATCAAATATTTTAGATATAGATTATGGAATTCCTCAAGGGTCCATACTTGGCCCTATTTTATTTACTATTTATATCAATGATCTGGTAAAACAAGTTCACAATTGTAAATTGCATCTATATGCAGATGATACTGTGCTTTATTTTTCTCATAAAAATGTTGATACTGTTGAAAAAAATATTAATTTCGATTTACGTAAAATTCATACCTGGCTTTGCTGTAATAAACTCAGTCTTAACGTTGACAAAACCATTTGTATGTTATTTGGAACTGGTACAATGCTATCGAAATGTAATATCTTAAATGTAAATATATGTGGTAAACGTATTGTTCAAAGTAATACTGTGAAATATCTTGGAATGCATCTTGATACCAAGTTAAAATGGGATATTCATATTGACGAAATGTGTAGAAAAATAAGTAAAGTTGTAAGTTTTTTAGCTCGTCTTCGACATTTTATTTCGGAATCCTATCTGAAGATGGTATATAATTCAATTATTCTTCCACTTTTCGATTATGCAGATATTGTTTATGATTCGGCGAGCAAGAAACACACTGACCGCCTCCAAAAGTTACAAAACAGAGCCGGTCGTATCATTTTGAAAATTAATCCTTATAACCATGTTTCAAATAACGATATTCATGTTAAATTAGAGTGGAAATCTCTCCATTCGAGACGTAAGTTGCATTTAAATATAATGGTCTATAAATCCCTGAACAATTTGGCTCCTCCTTATTTAGAAGAGTCTTTCAAATACTGTAACTATCCATATTCTCTACGATCACAAGGAAATATTAAACTCCCCAAACCAAAAAGTGAATGCTGCCGTAAAATGTTTGTGTATAAAGGATCACGTGAGTACAATGCCCTACCGTTAGGTATTAAGCTATCCAACAATTTAAAAACTTTTTGCAAATATCTAAATTTAAGAAATCAGTTTTGCTCTGACCTGTAATGGAACATGCTTGGGATGGGGGGGGGGTGTTTATGCTTCTTTGATATGTTTTAGGTTTTATATGTATTTAAGTTATATTATTGTATGTTGTATTGTTGTATAATAACTGTTTATATCTTAATTCCTGGACCCCAAGGAAGAACAGCTTTGTTATATTAACAAAGCTGAATGGGCTATCCAGCCATTCACTATATTATTGATTTTTACTATGTTCATGCATTTTCTTTGTATTGTTTTTAATATTGTGATGGAAAATAAATACCAATACCAATACCAAACATTAGCAGTGTCATAGTATTCAAATTATACAAGGAAATCCGTTTACCTTCTAGACTTCACTGTCAGACACTATTGAGTGACTGACTGACCTCTTTTTTTCTTTGGTAATAACATACCTAAAATGAGCTTTAACAGGAACATGGGCATTTCTCTACATCAATAACCCACTACTTGTAATGGCCATAATTAGACTGATTGAATCTTCGTGCAGCACAACACGTACGACCATTCGGTAAAAGGGTCTGAAAATCAGACTATTGCCTAGGTGATTGCAATTACATTAGTCGATTCGACAACTACTGATCGTTATTTTCCACGAAAAGCCATTTTCAAGCCGTTTCGGTTTGAGGGAAGTTCTAAATTAGTATTGTCTTTCAAATGCCGTTGGAATTTAACCTTTTCATTTTTTTTTAAATTTAATATTCTCTCTTTTTTTGTACTAAAAATAAATTCAAGATGTTTGAAATTAATGTACTTTTCTAAAAACCAAATCTCTGTTTCACAGTATTCTCCTACGTCATTTCGATCTTATGACACCAGGAAAACTATTATCCTGACTGAATATGGCATCCATTTTTTTAAAAGAATAATGTACCAAATAAACGACAACGTGGATGATACAAAGATTTATACTGACCTTGGAATCGCCTGCTTTATTCGCAAGCACCGAGTAGAAAACATCATGCATAGTACCAGTAACTTGAGTAAGACCGATCGTAACAGATCTCAGTGATCGTGATGAGCACATGAATTCAGCCAGGTCCTCTGAAGCCGTCCGTCCACATGGCTTCTCAATACTCAGGTCATCCTGCAATGAACATGTACACAAATAATATTGTGAGGCTAGAAACATGAACCATCAACATAATAGTATATTATCCTGATTAATCACCTTCATTGATACTGATTTGTTAATAAGCCTTTTTTTCCTTCCATTTTCCGTTTGGTTCTTATTTTGTTTTCATAATCTAGATATCGATATGAATATCAAATAATATCTTAACAACATTACGCATTTTAAAGGAATTATTGTAATCTCACAAAATATTTTAAAAAATGGGTTCAGTACGTTATCTCATAATAATTTAAGTTAGCGTTTTATCATATTGTTTTGAACAGTATACACTTGGAAATCCTATTGGGATTGGTGATATTAATAACGTTATTTTATTAAACAAGGTTTCATTGCAAATACATTCAAGACGGGTTGTACTGCAATAACAATTAATTACAACTCCTATTAACAGACTAAAGTCCTAATACTCATTAATTCTTGTTAATAATAGTTCATTTTGTTCGTGTACATTGCAGTGTTCAAATTAAAAGCGATGATCGGAGTTGTACCCATGCTAGAACCATAGAAGTTGCTTTAAACATGCTCCTGATTTAATAAAATGTATTCTATCAAGCTTCTGGGTGAATTTGGGTGACGAGAAGTTTGTACAGTATGCATTGCCTTATTAGTGCATGTTGGGGTTCAAAGCATCGTTCGTATACACATTATATATTTACAGTCATGTGTTCAAACCAAACGACGTCATCCTATTAAAGTCTCAGAGAATGAAATTTAAATCAAATAGAAACTCTGTCACTCAAAAAGATCAAACAAAGATGAAATGTATACGTTGCTACAATTCGAAGTTGAATATTTTCCTTACCACTTTACGATGGTTCATGATGAAAGTATGCCCTGATACTGTGTGTGCCTGCATCTCCTTGGTGATCTTCAGTGTCTTTATGGACGTAGTCGATAGATGATCCGCCACGGCTTTGGTCACTTCTTGGTCTTGGCTCTCATATGCTACATCTACGATGAAGTCATCATCAACACGGCCCTGTGTGCGACGAGATATGATATCCAAGCCGATAAAATCATCTATGGCCACTGCTTGGTCTTCGCTGTCATAATCATCTACGAAGAAGTCATCATAATCATCAATAATCTCTGTTTTCGACGGTATGAGACGAGATATGATATCCAAGCCGACCTCCTTCTGCTGAGCCGAAGTAAAGTACAATAGGTACCGGTATTCCACTGCTTCCTTTATGATATTCGCTATCAACCTGTAATACTCATTACGGTTTGACTGGTAAAGGGATGCAAGATACATTCCTGATAGATACTCCTGGAAGAGCTTATGGGGAAACTGCACTGATTGGACTACTGAATTTGGAGTGTTTCTCCTGTCTCGCCTCGGAAGAATTTTCTTCTCTCTGGTGAGTACACCAACTTTACAACCTACATCGATGGACTCTGGATAGCTCTGAAACTCTTCTTCTGCGAATACTAACCGTCTTTCGAGAAGCCCCTGGAAGGCAATGCGGCCGATGTGAATCAGGTGATGACGAATATCTGAACAATGCTCACTTAATTTGCCTCCAACAATACCTGAAGATGGAATGTGCTTTGATAGGTGATGATCAACTAAAAAGTCAATCATCTGATTGAAGAGCTGGGAAAATGTTTGCAGCTTGGACATTGCCTCTCGGCGCTCTCCATCAAACTCTTTCCACATGATACACAGCATGGCTGTGTATATGGGGTAGGGAGCCATGTTCTCTCTGATCACATCGTTGTTCGATATGAATCGGTTCAGATCTTCAGAGGAAGCTGCATCTGGATGAAAGAACTTGGTGATGTAAGAAGAGAGGTTTTCAGCAGAGAAACCTTCTACAGCAATGAAAGCAAACACCTTTCTGAGATCGGCATTCTTCCTAATCTCATCTGATCTCCATTGTCTCGATGTGATTAGTACTGTCCCTGACTTGAACAGATGATTGAGAGTGATCAGGGCGATTTGCTGATTGCTGTCAAGATCGACAGCAAACTCATCTAGGCCGTCCAAGACAAGAAAGACGTCATCCGGATTTGAGAGGATGTGCTTGTCTAGCTGTTTGGCTGTGACGGGATTGCTGTCAGAAAGATACGACTTCACTATCTCTCCAACAGTCTTGCCCTCTGTCTTGCGAAGGAGGATGACAAGAACCAGTTTGAAATCTTGGTAGGCTTTTCCGTGGATCCAATCCCAAGCGATCTTGGCGCAAAAAGTGGTCTTCCCTACACCACCTTCACCTTCTACCAACAACCGTTTGGGATAGGTTCCGTTGACTTTGGTCCTGAGGAGGTCATCGTAGAGAAGCGGTGTCTTGAGTTTTGTACCTTTGTCTTCTTCCATCAACGTTAGATTGGTGAAGATACGTTTGAATTCAAGTACAAGTTCACTGTTCAGTGGATCGGCTTGAATCTGGCATAGATGAATTGCCAAATAGTGTTTGACCTCTTCAGCAACCCGTTGGATTTCCTTCTCTGTCAGGGACGGTATGTGATCACCAACCTGACCTGTGATGAGAATGGTGAAGAACGTTGTCTTTAGCATGACTAGAAAAATATGACCAGTGTTTTAATATCACACAACAGCAGTACTACCATCAGCAGCAACAACATGGAAGAAATCAACTTGGAATTGCCCCCCCCCTTCCCCCCCTCGGTTCTCTCTCTCTCTCTCTCTCTTATATTGCAGTATCCAACAGTATCTACGAAACCCTATAAATAAACGTTAACTATTGCAATGAAACTCGTTATATAGTAGCCTTTAATCATGGCGGCTTTGCTGCTCTATCGATCCAATGATCGTCCTCAAAAAATAAAATAGTCATCTGATTGCACGGAAAGTCGACACTTGCGTGCAGCTTGCTGTAAGTCGCCTTTAGTAACTACCGAACCTTGTTGTTGTTGTTCAGCATTATATGGCAATCAGTCAAATTCGACTATTATCACTAACTAAATTGTATTTTCTTAATTCTAACTTTAATTCTGAAAATTGATTGACCTCTCTTTTTTTAAATTCTTTTCCTAATGTAGGTTGTTAATAATGATAATATGTTATCGTGGTTAATATTTATAATACAACATTTAAGCTTTCTAGTCAGAATATAAGCAGAATCGGCTTCAAATCGTAGACGATCGCACTATTTGTATGACGTCACTATGATTCTTAGCTGATGTAGCTATTCCTCCTCGAAGGGAACGTGAAATCCATTCAAACTTCAATTTCATTTATCATATTAAAAAAAAAATATATATATATATATATATATGACTATTAAAATCATCGTTCATTTAAAAATTTAAGTTTGAAAGTTCATGTCAAATGCTATATATTGCAAATTATTCCCAATAATCACATCGTATAGCACGCGGAGTGGTTTAGAGTACCAGTTGCTTTGATCTATAGCCTATCCACTATCGCATGTTCTCTCAACAGGTCAATCGTTAACCGGATTGTGTATCTGTCCTTTTGTGTAATTAATGATGATGTTACGTCCCCGCCCCTTTTGTGTCCATTCTTCTGTAATTTTAATCTGTATAACATGATATTAAGGTAGGTAGAGAGAGGGTAATAGAGAATTGGAGAATGTGTATATTGTTGGAAAAGACGCATGAAAGCATTTTTTGTTTGTTGTATTCTCAATAATAAGAAATAGAAATAATAAAGGAGAAATCATATGTGTTTGTTTTCGGGGAATTTTAGGCATTTTGTTAGGGGGGTAGGGGGTGTTATTGATGTAGGACCAAATATGGATATACCGGAACGGATATTGTTCCAACTAGATACATACATACATACGTACATAGCCTTTACATAAAAATGCTCAATGCACTTTACATTAATATAAATAAAACATAATAATTATTTTGCTCTACAAGCGCATACACTGTAAATACAATTCATGGTTATGATTAAACTTATTAGAGTCTGTCCATGCACTATGACTCTGAGACTCGATACGTATGTAAATATTACAGTTGGAATATCAGATGCTAGCGGTTCTTTCTTTGCTTTATGATATTAAAATCCACAAGTATGTCAATGTTACTATGGGTTTATTAAATGCTAGTGGTTCTGTGCAGGAAGTTCCTGAAGTTCCTGTTTTACTTATTGGAAATTCATTTTGTATTTCATATTAACTTTAGAGTCCAAACTGCGTGTCCTTGTATTTAGGCTGGGAATGGTTTAAGAGGCATGACACATGGTAATTTCAAAGCTTTATCAATCAATTATATTTTTCCAATTTGTTTTAAAAATTTGGGAAGCTTTTTGTGTACTGATATATATATTTGCAGATATAATCTTCTTTTTTCAAACTTGCTCTAAACATTAATTTGGTGAGAGTTTAAAGTGTTGTCTACAATTTCCACTCCAAATGCAATAGGGTTTTTTATTTTATAAAGGGCTGGGTTTCTCACTACCATGTTAAATGATTATTATTTAAAAATATTCTTCATATTCTAAAATCGATGTGTTCGTGCAAATAATCCACTTAAAACATTGGAGAGGGCTCTTCTTACTGTATATGTAATTATTTTTGTTTTTAAAGTAATTTACAACAATTGTAAGAAGTTATTTTATTGCAATCCTTCGTCGATTAATTTATGTTAACATAAATATTGATTTTTAACCATAATGGATGTATATAACTGACATAATCCTTTTTGTTTTTGTTGTTCTGTTTTTTTTAATTTTATTGTTAATTCATTTTTTTAATGTTTGTACTGTATATGCAGCTGCGATTGATGTTTTGAACAATCGTAAGAAGTTGGAGTTCTTGTTTTTGTATATGTGTTCCATCGATAATATTTCCGGTAAAATCAAATGATCTGTAGCATGATACAGTACGCAAAATAAGGGGGAATTAGAAATGTTGAAGAAGAATTTTGTTTAATTGTTTACATTGGAGAGTAAAGTTGGGTTTGTAAGTGTTCATGATGTTCCGAAGGGACATCCAGTTTGATACACATGTAACTGTCTGTTTCCAGTATTGAAGCATGTACTGTGTTTGATAGTAAATCAAACGTTTTTGCTGTTTCATGGTAATATGTATTCAGAATACATATACAGCTGTATTTCTATTTCAGCATGTGTATAGTGTACTGAACAAACAGGAAAGAACACAGGAGTGGTCACGCCATTAAATTACGTTATGATCTACTGTACACCATCTAATAAAGTCACCATGGAACTACAAATTCTCCTTAAGTCGCCTGGTGTTTCCATCCTTATTGGCCCAGCTCCTGGTACAAAAAATGAACCAATCAGAAACAACATCCTGACGATCGCATGGTGAAGGGCCAATGATCGCGGCTCCTTGTATTTCATTGGTCATAGGTAACGAGTTGTACTGCCTTATTCGGTAAATTTTTATGAATATTGATTACGACTTCCGGTGCGATCAGATGGCTTATTCCGCGCGTTTCGAGGATCGATCATGGGATCGACGTGCCAGAGCAGCAAAGCCATCTTGACTGAAGGATACTTCTTAGTTTGCTGCGCTGCTTCAATGGATTACGTAATAGTTATTATAATTTTATCTCATACTGCTTGAACTTTTTTTTTTTTTTTTAAATAAGTCTAGGCCCTTCTTTTTCATAGAACTTTGTGAAAAGTTACATATAAGTTTTCATATTTGTTGTGGGGTGTGCTCAATTTTGTTGGATACTGCATATATAGGCGTAAACGTGTTTTTGGTGGGGATGGTCGTGTGTGTACGCATGCATGTGAGTAATACTGTACCTTTCTGTACGCTATCAGCAAGCTGTACCAGCTTAATTCGTTGTAACGTGACCACCAACGCCTCCCTCGCCTCGCTATCACGTACTCTCTTCCGCCATTCGTAAAGCATCTTATAGATAGCATACAGAGTGTTGCCCATCTGATCTTTCTCAAACCGACTTAGTTCAGCCTCAGTGAATTCCAAAGCTAGTCCGACCTTCCTGAAATCTGATGGATCCATACTGTCAGCAAGGAGATATAGTTCGAGGTCGGTCAGGTTCCCAGGTCTAAATCATTAGACAAAAGAAAGGGGGGGGAAATAATATACAGCTTAAATATTTTTGTGAGGTTTTATAATCAAAGGACTTTCCTTTGATTATCATCTCGAGTGAATACCCTTGTTTGCATTGCATTAAAATATTTTCCAACATTTGCTAGAAATGCAAGCACTCCAAAAACATTGCAAAATAAGGACCTGTTAACATAACGGAAATACGCGAAACTTCTACTGTCACCATTTGCTTTCATTGATCAATTGGTATATTCCAATTAATATTTTTTACCAACATACTCGTTGGCTCGTATTCTGCCAAAATTTAGATCTCGTGGTGGATTAAGGCTTCAGTTTATAATCGGATTTAGAATGGAAATTAGTCTGAAGTTTAATGAAGTTTATCTTTAAATGTGATCTCCTACCAAGGGTCGGGCGTACCTCAATGAACAAAATAAGGACCAAAGTCGCTCTTTCATTGTGCTTACTTATCATTTGGGCCAGGGTTTTGTTCTACATCACCGGATCTCAATAGAAGTATGTTGGTCATGTCTGGACAGTCATTCCCTTTAGTTTCATCTGCTTCACCACTGGTTGTCCCTGATCCGAGGACCGGATAGATCCGGGAATCATGATACTCCTTTACTTCCTAAGGATGAAGAGAAAATTACGATGAAAACTATCTACATGTCATACTGAGATAACATAATGTGCCACAATGTATTTCTTGAGGGGATCTTTATATCAATGGTTTCTAGTTTATTCTTAAATTCATAATACAACAATAATTAGCGCAGGCAGACGATAGAAAGGTGTACATGTAGCCATTGGACAAGGTGGGCGGACAATTCATGATATTCTGTTACTTATGGACAAAAGACGATTTTCAAAAGAATAATCAGACATTATTTGAAGAAAAAAAGGAGAATCACGGGAGTATAAGAATTCTGTGCAAGTGTTAAGGGAAATTTAACCACTATTTACGGATGTCACAAACGTCATACCTTCACTTTGCACAGCAAATTTAAATAAGCTGTCCTTTATAATACATCTTATTTAGATCCAATTTTCCTAGTTACATTCTGGTTTAAACCCCGTTTACAAAAATAATTGTTTTATACAGTTTTTATTCCGATTTATTGTTCGCATGTTTGTCTCACTGTTTTGATTTTCTTTCTTTGATGTTTTTATGTGAGTAGTGAGGTTCTAGGTAATGCATATTAATCATACCATGATAGATGATGTTCTTGGGTCGGTATTATTCGTGGTATCTAGCCTGTGTTTAGGTGATAGGTCCGATGATTGGTCCTCTTTCCCCGACGGTACAGAGTCTGAAGTTTCCTCCTTGTCTTCTACACAGGGTTGGGGAACTGGAATTGTCACGTCAGTGGTACAAGGGACAGGGTTGGTCTCTTTTTCAATTGAAGAACCACTGTTTTGAGCACATGAAGACTCAGAGTGAGAGACATCGTTATGGCCGGGGTTGTTTACATCGCATGGGAATCCACTCTCCCTGACAGTATCACACTTTGGGCCGTCAGATTGTGAGAGAGTCGGTGAGCTTGCGTTACCGTTGCCATTGTTGACGTCACGTGAAGACCCTGTTTGAGCAGAAGATGCAGACTGACGGGCCTTGTAACTTGGAGATCTATTCGCATCGGGAGAAGAGCCAGTGCGAGATGAGATGTTACACTCAGGGTTGTTGTTTTCTTTGGGTGGCTCAGCATTCTTGGCTTTTTTCATTAAGTTGTGAAGTTTCCTCCAAAAGTAGTGGTAGTCGTATTCTTTCCTCCGACGTCGCATGAACGTGCCAATCCTGACACGCCATTCACCAAGAGACACAGGCATGGTGGCATCAGGGTACTATGTTATTCAAGAGAGAGAAAGATTAATGCAGAGTTAGTACATGAGACGGGCAACATGACTTTGTATAAGAAATAGTGTCAAATCTTTGTACGGATTTATCTTAACATGCCATGTATGGAATATGTATTCATTTAAGATTATATAATATCTCATCTTTTGAAGTCAATTGTATGCATGGTGCTTTAATGTAAATTTGCACAACTCTTTATATTCTGTATTCCCCTCCAGACAACTACCACCGGGAAAACGGCCCTTTGTAGAGGTGCAGTAACAAAAGATTTATTTGGTGGGGGGGGGGGGGTTACGGGTTTATGGTTGTCGTAGATGTTTCTTGTGCGGGATATAAGTCCGGAGTAGCCATCCAAAATTGTTCTGGAGCTATGGCAGACGCTGAATATTTTCAAATGCATTATGTCAGACAAAGACAAAGTAAGACAGAGTTACAAAGGAGCATCTGGATAGTTGTGCGCGTGTTGTGTGTATGTGTGTGGGCGTGTCTGTGCATGCAACACAAATAAAAATTGTTGCCGTTGATTATTCCGATACAAATGGGAAACGGAAAATACATTTTCTCTTTCATGGGCAAGCAAACAAATCAGAGTCATTGTCGTTTTAAAAGCCATGACCACAACGGAAAGTACAGCTATCTGCGTCTAGCGCGCTGGTCCATGTGTGGTGGTCTTAAAGAGCAGTACGTGTGGCGCCGTACACAGATATACGCGCAGCCGTATCACACAGCTGCTCGGGGTTGTGTAGTGTCACCTTAACGGTTCAGGGGGTAAGGGGAATGTATGGTTTTGAGGAGGGTGCAATTAAGGCACTCGCGATGGAATGCCATCGTAATGCCATGATTACTATTATAAGTAATACAAATAATAATGGTCACAACAGCATGGACCTCTGATGTATTGCTAGCTGTGCACATATTATACAGGCGGACCATGCAAGGATCAATACAGTTAGGATATAACTGTCTGTGTGACTTCCAATAAGCATGTGTGCGTTATAAATAATACATTGCTGACTGCAAATAGTAATCAAGGTATCTTAAGTAACATCACAATCATTCCGTATAGGTAGGTTTAAACGGACTTTTATAATCTATAATCTATTTCCAGTTATTCGATTCAATTTCAATTCAATTTTATTTTATTCAGTTAAAAAAGACTACATTACATTATAACAATCAGCTATATATCATAATATACACAAAGAACATATTAGACAAGGACATAAAATAAACTGAATAGGTTGCAACCTGAAAGGAAACATAATCCTTATATAAAGGTTGAACCTTTTTTATAATAACAAATATAAAACATATTCGTTACTAAACATTATACAATACAAAAATCAAGACAACAAACATACAGACAAATAAAATATGTCTAGAATTCAACCAAAAGAAATATATTATACCTACGTATAAATACATTTACACTAGCATAATTATGTATGTAATGAGGTAGAGTGTTCCACATAAACGGTCCTTCGGAAAAATTATTGTGTTTTGGTTTAGTACTGTACGAGTCAATAGAAAATGAAAATTTTGAGCATTATAACTGAATATTACAGTTTAGTATAAACAATTTGGAAATGAAATCAGAAAGAAGATTGTAAAGACATTAAAAAAAACACCTGCTTGTAATAAATATACATCCCTATAATGCAACATGTTTAATAAGTAGAATATTTTATTGGTATGGGCAAGAAAAGAAGAATGATTAATAATTCTTATTGCACGATTTTGTAATTTAAACAATCTATCGTGATGAATTAAAGCAGCATTGCCCCCAGACAATAATAGCATAAAGTAAGGGTACAAAATTGCATAGTATATCATTTTGAGAATACTTTTAGGGAGAGAATTCAATCTGAACATGATACCAATACTTTTAGACAATTTGTTGCGGATGTCAACAATATGATTTGACCAAGAGAGGTCATCATCAATAATAAAACCGAAAACATTTGCTGAAGAAACTCTCTAAATATTTACATTACCAAGTTTGATTATTATTGAATCTTTAGTTTCTTCTTTGCTATACATAGATTGACCTCATTATCTTTTTAACATTTTAAATCGAATCATCTACTGTAATCTACTGAGCATCTTTGATAGCGAAAACATATATTTCAATTCCGAAATAAAGAAAATTATAATTTACACTTAGAATTATTTGTAAAAGAGTCATCGCTATTTTTAATATTATCATGAGAATTTTAACGTGGAAGCTTACTGTTTGCTTAACTATCTGCTATTTCAAAAAAAAAACATGGTGAAACGGGGCCTTCAATCTTTCCCCTCATCAGCAGTGTTGACCTTGTTAACTGAATGTATCCCAGCTACCAAGGTTCACGTGTATCTTGTTCAAATTTCAGTCAAAGTAACAGATAATAACTTACTTGAAAGGTTAGTTCTTGAACGTATGATGAAGAAACACAATGAGGTTGAAGTACTTGTATTGCGCACGATCAGAAACAGGAGGGATGGTGTTCATATACTGGCAAATCCGCTATTGGCACTATGTGTCGAAACACGCAATGCATATTCGCCCCAGAAATTATTCTCAATACAGATACCGTTTGCAGAAATATGTTATTATCCATAATCCGAGTCCCATGTATAACCCAAGATACAATGACTTTGATATTGAAAAGCACAGCGGTGCATAAATCTACTTAGTAGTAGTACAGAAATGTACGTGGTGTAGTGTATGTGCGTGTGTGTGTGTGTGTGTGTGTGTATGTATTTCCTCTTGGCGCACCCAAAAACGAAACTTTTCGCATGAAATGCTTTGCAAAGTCATCGTCATAGCCATGCAGCATATATTTCAATACATATTTATTGCTTAATCAGTTGGAAAAAACCATTGTGATGCAAATCATATATTTGGCCCGATCTAGCTATCTGGGAGAGTACTGTAGATTGGGGAGTTTAACAGCGACAGAGAAAGAGAGCAATATAGACAGAGAGAGAGAGAGGGAGAGGGGGAGTGAGAAAAAGCACCCCCAAAAAAGGGAGGGGGGCAACGCAGGGATTTGGGAATCTGATCCCAGCTATTGGTAATTTGCCGTTCCAACTATTATGAATGAAGAATAAATACAAGTAAATACCAATGTTCTTTGGTCCTATCATCGATTTCGACTGTCAACTTCAACTGTGTTGAGGTCTGTACCATAATGTATAGTCTGCTAGCACAGACTCTCATTTGACACTCTGCCGCAATCCTAAAGTCTTAAGCAGAGCCTAGATGTGTCGGTCTCTGGCTGTATAACACAGCAGCTTAAATACAGTACATATTGTAGTCTCATTTTACAGTCACTGTACGTACAACAACAAGGGTTTGTGCCTGTGAACTGGGAAACTTACGGAATAATATTATTTAGACTTTCCCAGAATCATACAGGTTTACAGGCACATGTTTGGCAAGGGGGCTTACACCCTTTGCCTGAATATCAAATGTTCCAGGTTATGAAATATTGCGGTCGAGCCGAAAAAACATCTTAATGTGATAAGACTTTTATTTAATCATTTGTGATAGGATACAGACTTGCAAACTCGCGCATCGATCTCGCTGCCTGAATATAAGCTGATATACTATTGATAGGAATATTTCAAATTGTAAGGTGGGGAGGGGAGAGCTGTAACCACCACACCCTGCCCCCGACCCATCGTAAAGCTTTTAGTATAAGCTTTTCACGTTATGGTTTTCTCATATGGTTCTCTTTGATTTGCTGATGGATAAAGATCTATACTGACTAGCAGATTAAAAGTACATTATTGTTTAATGGAGATGTGAATTCGGTGTAAACAGCTACCAAATCTTACTTACTCCAACCGATTTAGACGGACTGTTAAATAATAAGTGCAACCTAATCATTGCTGCCGAACAACTTTTGCCAATATTTGCCTTAATCAAAATAGCGAAACTTTGCTGACCGTACCTTTTGCAGTTCATCAACAATCACGTCAGATCAAAGTTAGGAATCCATAAACATATATATTGATATGGAGCTACTCCTATTGAAGAGTCGGTCACTGTGAGTGATGTTATTTGGCTCAACTTCTCGATTCTTTCATTGGAAAGGGGGCGTCTTCGTTTTAAATTCTAATACGCAGTAGATGTATAGATGAATATGAAGAATATATATATATATGTATATATATATATTTATATCATGACATTCGATCAGATCGTATAGAGTAGGAATATCGCTATATCATAACTGATGTCAACTCTTTTCTTGCTATCAAATCTCCTTTTCTTTGTATTCTTCTTCAACAACTTAAAATGAGGAATATTATGTACGCCTCCTAAGCTTAAACTGGTACACTTTATTTCTTCTAGGCGACAATATTCTTATCATTAGTTTTGTTCTAGTCTTGAACGCCTCATGAATTGCGAAGCATCTCGGTCTGCTATTCATATTAAAAAAATGATATTCTGACATCGTTTTATAATTCAAATATCTAAATGTAAAATCTCGCACCTAAAGGTTCCATAGCTCTGCCATCCACACATCTTTCCGCTGTTGTGATACCCTCCCATTGATCTGAAGACTGATGTTGTGTCTTTTTCTCTTTAGTACCTGGCTCTCAAAACTTCAAGTCCAATGTATTAATGTAAGTTAAATCCAAAGACCCGATACTAATTGGCAATGCAGGAGAATGACATGTATTTATGTTTTTCATATCTTGCAATTCATGATTCTTACGATATATTATTTGGATACTTGCGAATGAATTTCCCGAGATGTTATTCTTAATTGTTACTGAATAAAAATACTGAATAGTTTAAAACATGTGTTTTAACGTTTGTAATGTTTAAGTTTTGTCATTTTGATAATGTGCTGACATTTGACACAAATTTTATTACATCGTATTTTTTCTAAAATTAATATAAAGGTGTATTTTTATAAGCTATCAAATGAAAATATCCGGGGGGTACCCATCTCAAGAACAAAACTAATTCACCGGTCATGTAATGAAATAC